CTGTGTTGTTAGTGGACATGAAACTGCTTTAAATACTGGTACGTAATCCACCAAAAACTAAAAATCCAAAAAATTTAACATAGCGCACTTTGCAAGTGGGCTACTCAATTAGTCGCATGGGGCCCCAGGGACCCCAACAAAAGTGTTTAAAAAAGAGTTTTCAAAATAAAAATAAAAACCAAGTGAATTTGCCCGCACCACTTACATATATATTCTCACCACTAGCGGCGTCACCCACTTTGGGAAGGCCTCATGTAGAGTGTTTGTTTGTTTTGAACGCAGCGCTGCTTGTACATACATAAATTTCGCTTTGGGCGCAGCGCTGTTTGTTCATGAATTTCGCTTTGCGCATGCCGCATTCGGCGAATTCAGCGTATATGCATAGTTGGTTAGGTATGTACATATGTATATGTATGTATGCAGATATTTAAATGCCGGTTTGCTATTCGCGCGACAAGCTTTTTTAAAAACGAAGTAAATTAGTACAAATTGTTAGTAATTTTCATTAGAGTTTGAATAACTCCTTTCACTAAATGGCTTTTAGTAACTTTAACGAGACCATAACTTATTTTATTTTATTCATTTTAGTGCAGTTTTGACAAAATTTTCTTGCTAAAAAATCTTTTGTTACACTACTTCATTTTATTCCTTTGATTGTACAGGTTAAATAAAAGCTTGTTTTTAAAAAATATTTTTTTTACATTATTTAATCCGTACAACCATCTAGGAGGATTTCAGTCACAAACACACCTACAGAAGAATAAAAAAATTCATTCAAAGATAGCTAAAGGTCGGTACGTTTGTAGGCCTCACACCCCAGTACTGTACCATGAATACCTTAAGAGATATGCAGTATACAAATTCGATTTATATGGGAGGTGCCACGGCCCCTTTCCAACAGCTGCCCTCTTTCTTCATGAGTATACGATTGATTTCGTATATCTCAAGTTCCAACTCTTCCATGAACACTTCCAAAGATAGGCAGTATGAAAGATTCGGTTTGTATGGAAGATGCCACGCCCCCTTTTCCAATAGTTCCAATTTTTCTCCAAGAGTATGCGATTTATTTCGTACATCTCCATACAAAACTCTAGAACTCTACCAAAAAATTTCCAGAGATAAGCAGTATGAAAAATTCGGTTTGTATGGGAGATGTCGAAGTCTGATGAGGAGATGTGGTGATCTCCGAAATAGTGCTATAACTTCTACCGCTTAGACTTTGTTGCTTTTTCAATTTTTCCTAATAAACAATCGTGGTACAAAGCTCAATAAAAATATTAAAAGTAAGATGTTAACACGCCACAATAACATTGACAAATAATTCGTTCGTTTAGGTTGTTCACAATAGTATATTTTTCACCGCTGAAAAGCTTTGTTTACAAGTCGAGCAAACTAAATAGTGTGCTTATAGATATTTATGTAAATATGTGCAAATTAAAACGAAATAAAAAAGAAAGCGAGTTTATGAAAACGCTGGTAAAAATTAGTACAACGGAGTTCTGGTTCAAAGATTTGTCAGAGGATGAGAGTTTAGTAAACTGGCCAGGAGTAGTAAATATTTAAAGGCCAGTTTTTCAGTGGCAGTTTAAACTTTGATTACGCAAACTGAGTTTAAACTGAACAGCTTACTGACATTTGATTGGCTAATCTTAGTTTAAACCATCCAGCTCGGGCGTTAAACTAAGTTTAAACCACAGCCGTGCACTGAAAAACTGGCCCTAAGAGAATTTGAGTGTTGTCTTTCGAATATGTATATTTTAACATAAAATATATTTAAAAAAATTTTCTACAGATTTATTAAAAACTTCCGAATGTCTAAAGAGGCGTTTGTGAGCCAAATCTATTTAAAATATTTTAAACTATCAACAGTTCTACGATTTTGTTCTCAGAGATCGTGCCAACTGAGTATAAATAATCTGCGATCAAAGACAGTTATAAGCAAGTAAGCGTATACCCTCTTTTCTGAGAATTTCTAATACTGCGATCACATAACTGTTTTTGATCAGTTCTAAACCAAAAGAGATATAAGAAAACGGCAAATGCAGAAATGTGGGCAATAGATCACATAACTGTTTTTGTTGGCGCAGCGACGATATGTATGTATATAGATATATAAATATAGATATAGAAAATTGTTGTGTTGATTCGCTCTTTGGCAGTGTAATTGTGAAGTTCCAAAGAATTCGTAATATATACACGTGCGCGAAGCTGCTGCGCTTGTTACGAAAATTAATCCGAAAACGTCAAGAAAAGTAA